AGCCGTCCTCCAGCGAGTGCCTCTAGTTAAAGTCTGAAATGGTCTTTTTCTTAACACAGCAGTTAACACCTTCAGTCTAGTTTCTGTGGTAACAGCCTCACCAATGCCCCCACTCCTATGCCATGTCTTTAAAAAGAGTAAGAATGCCTTGCTTAGCGAGGACGGGGATGAACCTGTTTTGCTTTTAGAAGCGGCAACTGTCCAAAACCCTCCTCTTGTCCGTCAGTGCTCCTGAAACAGGTGAGCTCATGTGTGGTGCGATGAGGAGGGATCCGGGTGTGCTATCCTTTAAATCAGAGGCATGCCTTAGAACTGGACTATTCCGGGGCAGCGGGAAAGCACACCGCTGCCCTTCCAGAGGACCTGAGTTTTATCCCCAGCACCCAGTTTCTGTATCTCCTGTCTCAGGAGATCCAACAGCCCCTTCTGGCCTCTGCTGGCTACAGGCATATGTGTGGTACACAGACATACAGGCAAGCAAAACACCCCCACACATAAAATAAATAAAAATTAAAAATAAAACTATGCTACTCATTCTCCTGTGAATTTTAGTAACATCTTTATCACAAAACAATTTCTTATGTTCATGTATCTTTACTTCCTGGCCATTTTAAAATAAAAAGTCATTTTATTGTAATGACCCTACAAGTAAAATCACACAAGATTAAGGTAGCGTACCAACCAAACACTTGCCAAGCCCGAAACTCTCTACATCTCAGTGAAATATTTGTACAGTGAAAATGGCCATTGTAAAGCAATGAAGTCTTGCTTAAGGTTTTACACTTTCATTATATATTACATTTTATGCACCAATCCACAAAGAGCAAAAGCAAACAAAAGCCTCGGAGAGAACTGAAGCTAGAAGGTCAATTTACTTTCAAACCTTTCATGACTTGTCTACTTTATATGCATTCTGTTCTTTCTCATTGCCAAATATTCTCATTTCATGACTTGTCTACTTTATATGCATTCTGTTCTTTCTCATTGCCAAATATTCTCATTTCTTGGCTCCTTTTGCAGATGTTATACTTTACCTACACTTATACCTGTTTACAAATATAAATGTATATATTATAGGCTAGGATCCATAGATAAGGGAGAATGTGGGCTCTTTTCTTTCTGAATATTATGTATCTTTCTCACTTAATAGTAGACTTTCTAAGTCTGCCCATTTCCTGCAAATTTCAATTTTTACAGTTGACTAGTATTCATATATATATACACATATGTATATATATACATATGTATATATATATACACTGCATTTTCATTATCCATTCATCTGTTAATGACTGTTTAGATTGTTTCTGTTTCCTTGCTATCATAAATAGAGCAGCAATGAATTGCAGGTGCAAATATCTCCCTGGCAGTGAAGTTATCTGTATATGCAATCAAAAGTAGAATAGTGAGGTCATTGGGTAGCTCAATTTTAATTTTTTGAAGAACTTCCAAACTTATTTCAAGAATGCCTGTATTAATTTGCACCCCTATGAACACTGAATAAGGATTCTCTTTTCCCGTGTCCTCTCAAAGATTTGTTATCAAATTTCTTTTTTTAAATACTCAGAGTTTTGTTTATAATTTTTAAGTTTAATTTTATGTGTGTAGGTGTTTGTCTGCATGTGTATCCCTCGACCTGTGCGTGGCTGGTGCTTGCAGAGTACAGACGAAGGTGTCCACTGGAACTGGAGCTACAGACAGTTGTAGGCCACTGTGTAGTGTTAGGACCCAAACTTGGGTCCTCTGGAAGAGCAGCTAGTCTTCTTCCTTCCAGAGCCAATTCTCTGGGCCCTGCCGTCAGCTTTCATGATGACAGTCAGCTGACTGGGGTTAGTGCTATCTCAAAGTAGTTTCAATTTGCATTTTTCTCATGACTAAGGTTGTCAAACAATTTACAAAATAGCTGTTGCCCCTTTGTGTTTCTTCTTTTCTAAAACACCCATCCAATTCATCCACCCTGTTGTAGATATTGGCAGTTTTAGTTCCTCTGTATTTAATTTCTACAGTTCTTTGTAAATTCTGGGCACAAGTCCCCCGTCTGAAGTATTGAACGTAAAGATTTTCTGCCACTGTGTGTGTCTTTTGCTCTGCTGATCATTTCTATTGCTGTGTAAAGACTTAAATTTCATGGAGTCTCCCTTGTAGATACTTGGTGCCAGTGTTTATGTTATTGGGGGTCTGTTCAGAAAGTTCTTGCCTATCTCAATTGAAATATTTTCAATGCCTTGAAAATATACTCCACATTTTCCTTTAGTAGTTTCTGGTTTTATATTAAGTCCTCTTATTCCTTTTAATGCATTTTTGTGCAAATGATTTCAAATTAATTTAATTTCTCTGCAGTAGATAGCCAGGTTTGTTAGCCTCTTTTGTTAGGTCAGCTATCTTTATTCTATTGCACGCTGTTGGCACCTGTGTCAACAATCAGATGGTCACACCTTTGACAGTTCATTTGTGGGTGTAACCTATTGCACTGGCCTAACTATCTGGTTTTATTTCAGTACCATGCTGACATTATCACTACAGCCCTGCAGTATAAGTTGAGGCAAAGTAATACTTTATATCCAGTTATGATCGTAGTTCTTAGAAATGCGTTGGCTATTCATGGTCTTTTGTGGAACAAAGAGTCTTTAGCAGTATTTTAGAAATCGTTCTGTCCTTTGAGGCGATGTTCTAGAGAGGTTAGCCAATTCTTTCCCTGAATGAAATGAATGTATCACTAAGCATCGCTTTTAGATTTATTTAATGTGTGTGTGTGTGTGTGTGTGTGTGTGTGTGTGTGCAAGGGCACCAAATGTGTATAGGGATTAACAGAGGCCAAAGGAGGGCATTGGATATGCTGCAACTACAGTCCCAGGTAATTGTGAAATGTTCTTTGGGTGCTGGGAAGCAGACTTGGGTCCTCTGAAAAAGGAGAAAGCATCCTTCATCTCCGAGTCAGCTCTTCAGCCTTCATTTTTTGTTTTGTTTTGTTTAGTTTAGTGAGGCAAGGTCTCATTATATAGCTATCCCTGGCTTGTCTGGAACTCTATGCAGACTAACCTGGCTCAGAGCTCACAGAGACACACCTACCTTTAATTCCCTAGTGTTAGGATTCAACTAAAATATGTAAAATTTTCTCACTGAAAGTTGATTTCTCTCAGGTCTATTGTACAAAGATAGAAAGTTGTCGAACCCTAAACATTCGAACTCCAGATAGGAGGAATCCTTTTGAAGTTGTCCCAGTGCACTGCATGACCTTACATATCATCTCCAGGGACACACTTAGTATCTATTTATCTAGTCAATAAACTGCTCATCCTGCTAGCTTTAGTTGAAAGTCTTTTCTGGGAGCTGGAGATATGGCTAAGATGATACGAACTCTTATTGCTTTTGTAGAGGACTAGGGTTCAGTTCCCAGCACGTACGTGGTAGTTCGCAACCATCCTGACTCCAGGTCCAAGGGATCTGATGACTTTGTCTGACCTCCACAGGCCATACAGGCAAATTCCACACATAAAGTAAAATAAATAATCTAAAAGAAAAGCAAACAATAAGTGTCCTCTATTCTTATCCTCCTGCAAGATATGTGCCCTCCTCTGCCTCACTCACTATTATACAACTGTGAGCTGTTCTTTAAGTTTCTCTTGAGGAGTACTTAAATCTTTTTGCTTTATTTCATTTTTAAGACATTTTGTCACTGTGTAGATCCAGCTGGCTTAGATTTGCTCTGTATAACTGGCTGGCCTTGAACTCACGAAAATCTGCTTGCCTCTGCTTCCTAAATGCTGGAATTACTGGTGAGCACCATCACATGGTTTTTACCAGCAGCCTAGTTCACAGTGCCTGGTATATGATAGGTACCTAGCAAATACATCTTGAATAACAATCATTGAGTATTTCTTCACCCACCTGCCTTCTGTCTCCTAAAGTATTAGGTTTATGCTTTTCTCCAAATGGCACATAATTAGATCTCAGCAAAGATCAGTATTTATCAGAAGAAACAACATTGTGATTGCCTCCAACCTCTGTCTCCTCCACTATAATCTGCACACTGATGGAAGACTATGTTTCTCAACACATCAGCTTTCCATGGCACCTCTCACAGCCCCATCCTGCTCACACTCTGCTGTGTCCTGCTACCTGTGGGGAGAAGACTAGCTTCTCACGCCTATCTTCTCTTCACCTGGTAGATCACTCTCGTACAGTCTGGTCCCTTGATCCTTACAGGTTCATTTCCCTCCCCATGTTTCAGCCTAGGCCTCCTGGCTAGACTAAAGCTCCCCTCACACTAAAATGATCATTGAAAAAAAAATCTTTTATTTACCTGCTGTATTTTCTTCATATTCTGAAAGTGGAAATCTCCTCTTTCTGAGGGACTATTTTCTTTCTTTCTTTTTTTTTCCCCATTGCTTTTGCCATTGCAAACCAGATTCTAAAACACAGGGTCTGATGAGCATTGTCCACTGTGGTAACATCTGCTGTAAAGCAGTTCCTGGAACCAGAGAGAGACTGTCAAGAGTATCAGCTTAGTAAATGGAAGACTAAATGCAGAAGTCAAGGTCCTTACTGACACAACCCCTCTCTCTCCCCAGCCCTTCCTTCCTTCCTTCCTTTCTTTCTTTCTTTCTTTCTTTCTTTCTTTCTTTCTTTCTTTCTTTCTTTCTTTCTTCCTTCCTTTCTTCCTTTCTTTCATCTTTATCTGATCTTCTATTCCACTTCATTGTCCCCCATAATTAGACCTATTTAAAGTATTCTGGTCTTTTTCTTTCTATTTAAATTGTCACCATCTTTCAAGATTTAGCTCAAATTTTAGTTTAATGTGACCTAAGGAAGAAGTTCTTTGTCTTAGTTAAGGTTTCTATTGCTATGAAAAGACACCATGACCACAACAACTCTTACAAAGGAAAAACATTTATGGGATGGTGCTGTGGAATAATGCTTTGGTATACTGTGAAGATGTTTTATTCTCATTGGATTAATAAAGAGCCAACTGACCAATAGCAATGCAGAAAGAAGTTAGGCAGGAGAGCCAGACTGAGAGAATGCTGGGAAGGTGGAGGGCGGAATTCCTGGCCAGATGCAGAGAAAGCAGGAGATGAACATGCCATGTTGGGAAAAACAGTACCTACTTTCATGGTAGAGTGTAGATGAGAAATAGTGATTAATATAAATTGTAAGTGCTAGTTAGCAACAAGCCTAAGCCATTGAAAAACATTTATAATTAATAATAAGTCTCTGTGTGGTTATTTGGGAGTTCGCTGGCGGGATAGAAATTCTTGCCTACAGGGTGGCTTACATTTTCAGAGGTTTAGTTAGGTATCATCATGATTGACACTGTGGTGTATAGGCAGACATGGTCCTGGAAAAGGCATTACATCTTCACTCACAGGTAACAGGAAGTGTACTGAGACACTGGACATGGCTTGAGAATATACGAGACCTCAAAGTCTACCTCTACAGTGGCATACTTTTTCCATCAAGGCCACACCTCCTCCAACAAAGCCACACCTCCTAATATTGCCACTCCCTATAGGGGTCATTTTCTTTCAAACCACCACACTCCTTAAATCCATGCTATCAGTGTAGTGTTTGAACATTTTTAATTTCTAGGAAGGCTAATACTTGCATGGACTTTTCTTCATTCGGAAGTAAATTATAAATTATCACAAAAGATATTTTTTTCTCTGTGAGTGCAGGTATATGCAAACATTTGTGTGTGTATGTGAAAATCAAAGAGTAAACCTGACTCCCAATATTCAGGAACAAACAACCTTGTGTTTTGAGACAAGATGTCTCCTTGGCCTGGGCTTACAATTTGGCTAAGCTGGTGGTCTATAGACCCCAAGGATCTGCCTGTTTCTCTACCTCTCATACTATGGTTATAGGATCACACTGCTGTGCCCAGCTTTGTATAAGAGTGAGGGGGATCCAAACCCAAGTCTTCACACTAACAGAGCAATACTGATTTGTGTGAAATTTTGATTTCATTTTGGAAATAAATCATGCTTTAAGTCAGAAAGTAGAGCTAGCCCAAACTGACCATAGAAGTTTGGAGGACTGTGAAGAGATAGGGGACAAGAAGTAGCAAGACAGGACTACAAGAGGGCTTCAGTCCTTTTGGAGGAAGGAACGGAAGAGGTAGGAGGTGACTGGTGGCTTCTCCATAGCTCCTCTGATCATTCGGATTCTTACGCCAATATCTGACTCCCGATTTTTTACTGGAAAAGAGTAATTAGGTAAACATTTCAATTTCTTACCAGCTGAGCACTTTCTCAATCCCCACACCCATATGCTTGTAAATAACGAGCAGACCCCACTTACTTATTTCAAAAGAAAATTGGCTGCCCTTTTCTTTCAGTTTATCAGAGAAATTTGTTTTCAGGAACAAGGAAAAATATCATGGCCCCAAACAACATTTACAGTTAGTGTGTTGAAGTTTGTTCCAGTGATGAGTCTGATTTCTTTCTGTAACTAATATTTTCCTGAATATTCTATTTTTTTTGTAAAAATTTTAAAAATGAATGCTTCCAGGTCTATAAGGTGAACATCCAAACAGCCTAGGCTCCCACAAAACCAGTACATGCAGTAGGATCAAAACCCAGTGCCATTGCTCTTGACTTCTCAGCAGTCCTCATTGTCTGCTATGTTCAGTGAGTCCGGTTTTATCCCATGCTTTTTAGATCCAGTCCAGCTGGCCTTGGCGAGTTCCCGAAAGAACATCCCATTGTCTTAGTGTGTTTGGATGTTCACCTTACTAGACCAGGAAGGAGGTGGGAGGTCCTTGGACTCCCTACAGGGCAGGGAACCCAGTCTGCTCTTTGGGCTGATGAGTGGGGGGAGTTGATTGGGGGAGGGGGAGGGATATGGGAGGCAGTGGCGGGGAAGAGACAGAAATCTTTAATAAATAAATAATAATAAAAATAAAAAAATGAATGCTTCAACTTCTAACTGTAAACTCAATATAGCCTTATTAATTAAATGGTTTTCAATAAAGAAGAACAAAATATAACCCTCAATCTCTTATATGTTAAAAATATTTGAAATTTCAATATATATATAGTGGCATTTATATATTTTCATTCTTTTTACATCTATGCTGCTGACTCTACTCATTACATTATCTAGACACATGGGTGGGTACATCAGAGCACTTGATTACATTCATACCATGAAGATAAAGGAAACTTGACAACTTGGGTATCAACTTGGCACTGTCAGCATCTTCTACTGAAGTCATATCATCCAAGCAGGATTCTTTTTCTACCTTAGCTGGAAGCTTACCTGAAGGATGCTCTTAACATAGCTCTAGGTACAGAATCCTGAGTGTCTGAATAGATACTTTACTCCTGAATTTTGGAATCTAAAAAATCAAATTAGAGAAATTGTTAGTAATTTAATGTATTGATAACATTCTAAAAAAATATCAAGTTAGGCTCATAACTTAAAATACATACAAAATTATGGTATGGTTAAAAGGCACAGACAACAAGAGGTGCTGACATCTCCTAAAGGAACTTTCAGACTGTATGTAGGCCACACCTACCCTGGTATTCTGACACAATTCTGCCAATGGTGGTCCTGCCTTAGAATATTCACTGAGCAGTGATGACCATGTATCAGGCTGGTAACTTGGGGTTACCAGATACAAATGGAAAGACCTGGGAAGAAAAGGTTATGTTAGAGTTGGAATCTGGAATGTTCTCCAAAGGCCTGCCCACCAAAGGCGTGGCTTTGTGCTTTTGTGGAAAGTGGTGGAACCTCTACCAGGTGGCATCTACTAGGGGTTTGTTATCACTGGAGGGGTGGCCTCTAAGGGGATTGTGGGACATTGATCTCTTGCTCCATTATGCACTCCTTTCATCACATGCTGAGAAGTAATTGCCCAGGAGTCATGAACTGAACTCTCCAAACTGTGCTCCAAGATCAGCCTCTTCAATCTTTAAAGGATCTCAGAAATCTTGCAGGATGCTGGAAAAAGGTCCAGAAATACAATGTCACACATAAGAAAGGCACCAGACATTTGTGGACGGTGTCAGTCACTGTGTTCATCTTTTCCACAAAGGGCTCACTGTTGCCCAGGGTGCCAGTTGCAGGCTGTAGTCAAAGGCAGCTTGTTTGTTCCTGGCTGCCCAGACTCGAAATAATCACACAGGAACTATAATTAGTTGTGATATTGTTTGACCAATAGCTTAAGCATATTTCTAGCTAGCTCTTACATCTTAAATTAACCCATTTCTATTAATCTGTATATTGCCACGTGGTTGTGGCCTACCTCCAGCATCCAGCATCTGTTTCCTGTGGCGACTGCATGGCTTCTTCCTGACCCCACCTACTTTTCCCAGAATTCAGTATAGTTTTGCTGCCTAGCTCTATTTTGCCCTATCACAAGCCAAAGCAGCTTCTTTATTCATTAACCAATAAAAGTAACACATAGACAGAAGGACTTCTTACATCAGTAGGCAAAATCAAGACATTTGGATCAACTCTGCTTATAGCCCTGGGAGCTCCTTCCTGTCTCCGAGACTGTCTTTGTGCCATACTTTGCATGCACAGTCACGCAGCCAGCTCTGGCTGTTCAGTCCCCACATAAAGCTAAAGGCCAATGAGGCTTTTTTTTTTTTCTTTCAGTCAGGTTCTAGCTGACATTCATTACCGCATACTACATTTTTTTCTCTATTTTAGTCATTCACCAACTTTTGAACTTGAAGGCAAAAACTATAAGCAGCGAAGCATCTGTGAGACACATCTGTAAGAATTTTGACACTGGCTGTTTGAGATAAAGATCAGGTATGTATACAGAGAAAACACAAACAATCCCAGGAACTTAAAAAGGAGAACATTCCATGCATGTCTTTGCAGGCATACAGTAAATCTAATTATAGACACTTGAACTCCTTCAGTGTCTAAAATGTTATAGCCACAGAAACAAAAACAGTTGTCCTCTGAGAATGTAAATAGAAAGCATTCTCCCATGCTCTGATGTTGCTGTTTAATCTGGTGTTACCGAACACTTGATCTGTGCCCAGGACGTCAGGTGTGCTGCCCCGAATTTTACACAAAATCACCTGTTTCATTTGATGGTGAAGGAGAAAGCAATGACTACTATTTCAAAGACGGAAAACCTGGGCAGAGAAAATTGAAATTCTTTGTTCTCCTGAATTTGGGACAGAACTACTTCAGCCCAGGCCTCCATCTTGGGGCTTCATGATACTCTACATGCATGGTTACATGTTAAATGAAATGACATTTCTGTTTGTGTATGTGTGTGCATGCTTATGCGAAGGTATGTGTGTGTGTGGCCAAAGGTGATGGTTCTCAGAAGCCATCATTATTTATTTATTTGTTTGTTAATTTACCTATTTATTTATTGTTCGGTGAGTCGGGGCCTCTCACTGGCCTGAACATCACCAACCAGGTAAAGCTGTCTGTCTGTCTGTCTGTCCACAGAGGTGCAGCGATGCACAGTGCTGAGATTACAGACACATACCACCACACCCAACATTTTTACAAATCAGCTGGCAGGATGTCTGTAACAACAGCCCAGCGAGTGCTGTGTGGTGGTGTTAACAAATCACTTTTGTATTTACTTACTTACTGTTCTGTTTTTTTTTTTTTTTTTTTCTCTGTGTAGCTCTGGCTGTCCTGGAACTCACTCTGTAGACCTGGTTGGCTTCAAACTCACAGAGAAACACGTGCCTCTGCCTCCCAAGGGCTGCGATTAAAGGCTGCGCCACGACACCGGGCAACAAATCATTTTTAAAGGTTGTTCTCATGCTTATATCTAAGAACCCAAGGAAAAGGGCAGCAGCGTGCTGTATCCTGAAAAGGTAGCTTCCCGAGTGCTCTTTTTTGGACTTTAAAGCCATCAACAGGTACTACAGAGATTATTGAAAGTAAAGAGAATTAGACTACATCCACTCAAGTGGTGTAAGAAGGAGGGGACAGACTTGAGTTCTAACTCTGAGACTTGAGGACTCGAACTCCTGTACTTTTTTTCCTGGTGCCCTCAGGCTTTTCTCTTCTGCATCTACGACTCATACAAAAGACAGCATCTCTTGCCACTTTCCCTGAAGAAATGTGAAATAAAAAGAGAACCAGAAAAGCTGTTCAGCCTGGGTTAAAATAATGGACATTTCTCACTGAGGAAACTAAAATGAAAGCCAAAAAGTGATCCAAAATAAGTAAACAAGGCTTTCATTTCTGCTCCAAAATGTTTCCTTTACCTCTTTCGAGTCGAGGCTGCTCACAGAGCAGATGCCACCATCCCCAGAGGTCACGTGCCAATTTTGAAACAGAGCAGATAGGTACTAGCTAGTTAATGATCTGTATTTTTTTTTTCTGTGAAAACTTCTAACACATATTAAAGAATTTGGGAAGCCATGGATTTCTTGACATTTGTTTTTATTGTAAAAATGTGTCACTTTTAAACAAAGTTTTAACTAAAATCTTATTCTGATACAAGGTTGAGGGTCAACTATGAAATTTAACATAAAATCAATTCAGTTTTGCTGGAAAAATTATTCACGGAAAGTTTATATATTTTTAAATGAAAATATCTTGAAAAAAAAAAAAGCACCAGGGAGCTACAGTTTTACAATGTGCCCAGTTAGAAGGCTCGCCATACTGGGGCTTCTCTAACCCTCCCACCTCTGTCCAGCATTACCACACAAGCATTGCTCTATCTTTTCAACTTGTACAGCCCTGCTTTCTAGAACAGCACCCAGCCAACAGCAGGCAGCATTAGATATTTGTATAGGGAATGAATGAATGAACGAGTGGATCACCAAGCTAAGCAAACTGACTTCCTCCTTTCCTCTGAGAAATGCTGAATTTTTCATGAGCAATTCTTGTCATAAAGCACATTAATTTTGTGTGTAAATTTGCTTGTCTTAGAAGTTTTGTTTATATTTGATCTAAACTCTATTAGCTTACACCAGAAACAAATGCATGAGAATCCCATGTGTAAAACCACTTCTTTGTTTATCAATCTAAAAACAAAATAACAAAAACAATTCTGTTTAACCAATAGTTATAGCAGAAAAATGAGGAGAATCTGAATTTGTAGTTTATTAAGGAAGGACCGCAAGGCAGGAGAGCACATTTGCCCTCTGCCTGGCCTACAGGCATGTTCTGTTCTGGGCGTGCATTCCTGGAAGTCCCAGCTCTCAGAGCTGCTCACGGGTAAGTGGTCAATGGAGCAGGGTGAGGCTGCCCATCAATATTGACGGAAGTCTATTTTCAACTTTAGAGAGTTATTTGTTCAATTTCTTAACTTCAAGGTTTCCCTCTAGAAGAGTTTGAAGCAAAAAACAATGATTTGACTCAAGTGTATAAGATTCTAGACATAATACTTCAACAGATTTTGATTCTATTAGTAATACAGAATTTTTTTACACGTTATTTATCATATATTCCAATTTGTATTGGATATCACATAACCTCCAACTCTCACTAGTTTAGAGAATGAGAAGGTGCAGGGAGATGGTACCTTAGTAATTGCTGATGAAGAAGCCACTGGACCCAGGCAGATGCTCAGGAGCAGCTGAACCAGGCTGAGCCAGGGCTACTTGTTAGAATAGCTGTTGGGGTTTAAGAAGGTACCCAAGTTTATTTTCTTCCCAGTCTCATGTAATAAATCTGAGAATAGAAAGGTAAAAATTATTATATGTATGCACTGACTCAAAGTTGTAAAATGTCAGGCAGTAAACACTTTTCTCTTTGATGTTTGTGAAGACAAACATTAAATTTCAAAATTAAATAAAAAACTGAATTACTGAACCCAGTTGGTCATACAAGCTTCATATATATGAACGAAAACATATAGGTAAAGACCTAATAAATAGATGATTATCAAAACCCTTCAGTTTTAGGGTTGGAGGAAAGAGGGGACATTTACATGAACAATACAGGAAGTTAGGGAATATGATCGTAAGCAGTCTTTCCTCAGAAATAAAGTCAACAGATCCAGAAAACTGAAATAATTGTCTAAGTTAAGCAGTGAGATGGTACAAAGTAGGTCATGAAATCCCCCTTTCCTCGCTGAAGTGAGGATCAAAAGCAGCAAACTCTAGAATGCTCTGCAAAAGGAAGGCTGCGTGCTGCACCGTGGGGTTGTCCGGCCTGCCTGGGAGAGCAAATGGCTGGGCACATGACAGCCTCAGCTGACACCAGGAATGCACAGTGGAAAAGTTCCGAAGGGGAAATGAGGGATCCTGGGACTCTAGCAAACCAATGAAGCCTCATATGGCAGCCCAGGCCTGACAAGAAAGATCTACTTGAAAGGAAGAGTTTTCTATATCCTAAAAAGGGCCAGTGCTGTTTGGGATGGATTATGATGTATACAAGGAAAACTAATCCCAACCAATGTTGCTGAAGTAACAACTTGTCATGAATGTCATCTCTGACACCGCATGATAGGTAGCAAAACACTATGTCACCCTCTTGCTTAACTTGGCTTTATTGATGACCACTGAAGCCATGCCACACGAGACACTGTGGGTTTATTTGTACTTATTTGTTAGCTGTCTTTTCTTACTAACCAGATAAAAGCTCCAGGAATCCCAGAACTTTGGCTGGCTATTGTAAAGGTGGTATGAGATAGGCTCAAGGAAGCCCCATGTCTACCCTTAAATGGCCTGCATCTGCCAACTGGTTGAGT